ACATACGCCATTATTTTAGTTTAGCAAGTTTTTTAAAATGTATAATTATTTTGAAAAATGCTGATAGTCTAACTGAAACAGTCCTAAAAGAATGTTTGAAATCTTTGGATATGGGAATTTTGCTTGGCGCTCCCTTGGAAAAAAATTCTGAGCTCTTGACAAATTTGGCGAAGTACTTAATGAAGAAGATTAACGAATTAGCCATTGAAGAAAAAGATGAACGTTATGTGGAAGTAACTAAGAGAAAATTGGAAGATTATCAAAAGAATAACAGTGAAAATATTCTAGGCATGATGGTTCCATCTGAGGAGTGTCCTTCTTTGGAATACTTTAACAAAACATATTTTCTACCCCAAGTACCTGTGAAATTGAAAGGCATGTGTGTTTTCTACTCCATATCAACAAATTTCCAAGAGACTCAAATGATTTGGGAAAAAAACTTTATGGTTTTCAACTTTTCCACCTTTATATGAAAATGTGGTAATCTTCTGAAGAAAACAAGAAAGCAATTAAGTTCACAATAAACTCAAAAACAAAGATATGTAGATCATGCACGAAAGCTTATATCAGATACAAACTGGAAGAAAAATATCTGAAACAAATACTTATACATGAACATTGAATTACACAAAAAAATCTTTTGGAAACAACTACTTTCATATGAACAGAACATTAAATTACATGAAGGTTACTTTTCTCATTCAGTTTGTATTCCTTTTGTTGTGGAATTGAAACAGATATTATTTACAGGAATGCTACACATTACCTATATATAATACATGACATAGCAATGACATAAAATTTCACTTGCATGAAAATCAATCATCCTTAGGATGTACTTCTTGAAATTTAAGTTCGAAAACACTTGTAATCAACTCCTCATTACCACCTCTTTATAGTTTTGAAGGTGAAAACACACGCTTTTCTCACAGAAGGTCGCCAATTGATTCAATAACAAATGTTTGGAATGAGTGAAAGTGATTTTCATGTAATTGTGAGTTCCTGAGAGTTTCCCATATTTTATTATAGAAATGGAGAAGTGGAAAGCTAAAAAACGTTTACACCCAAACACATTCTCTCTGAAATAATATCTCCCTTTCAATTTGAACATAATTCCTTTTATATTGAATAATTCTCAATAGGAATGTGAGTAACTTTTATGTATATGAAACCTTATAAGTAGCAGTATTTAGAGGTTGCGAATTTGCAAGACCCATTACAATCTTCGATGGCTATTCAAAAAGTAATTATAAAAAGGTTCGACAGAAAAATATTCATTCAATCTTGTAAATCTGCATGCTTTTTTCAAAGTATTCCCTTTCAGTTTCAAAACACTCATCTCGTGTCGACATGCTTGTAAACAAGAATGCCGACATTTATCTAGAGTTCTTGCAGCGTGCCTTCATAGCTTTGAGATTTTCTGACCTGTCCCTTGAAAGGAAACTTCAGAACACTCACAATGCCTCAAGCATTAATGATATCCACTATACCAAGCGTTCAAGAAATCCAATCTACTCTTATAAAATACCATTATTATCTCAAATTAGGCACTTCAACCTAAAAAATATGTTTTCTGATTCCTTGAACTTGTGAAAAAATATATTTATCTTTTCTTTCCAAATATCAGAATCTTCAAGCTATTTTGCTGAAGCTGAAAACTGAATCAGATTGAGAAATAAATTCTTAAACCTTTTCCAATATTTCACTTGGCTTTTCTAATACTTGCAATTATGTTGAGGGATTTCCAACAATATATTTCCAGTTTTATTTGTTATCTTTCCAGGTTTCCATTCGAATACATTGTTGTGGTAAACTTTACAATATATGTTGTTACAAACTTTGAGTTTATAATATTATTTTCCATTGAAGGTTTTGCCCTCAAAGTAACAAATTCAAAGGAAAAACTGGAACCTCTGGCGTAGAATAAATTCAAATGAAATATTGTTCCCAAACACCAGAACTGAAACACTCTTTTGGACGCGCGTTTCACCAACCAGTTGCAGTTCTGGTGTTTGGGAACAGTATTTGATTCGGATGTAACAGAATATTCTAACTTTGCTACCCTCTTATAAACATGTAATGTTTCTTGGAATTCATACATTTATTATTATTATTATCTGAATGTAAGAATGCTTTCATTATTCAAATCAAAGTCACTTTTATGTTCGTATAAAATATGTTGGAATTCTTAAAGCTTTTTGATTCCAATTAACAATTCCAATAAATATGAAATGTCTTCTCTTATTTCTTAAACTTATTTTTTAAACTGTGTCTTAGACTTCAAGTCTGCCAAAACTGATTTGTAATGACCTGTTGTGACGGTCGAGCCTTGAAGAACTGCATTTTGGTTCATAAATACCTGAGATTCGAAGATTATCATAACTTTACTCGGACTTGGGATTCATCTTAGCTTTTTCTGGAGGTGGCGACTGCGCCACTTTGGTCTAAGATTTTGATTCAATTAATTTCTTCATTTGCCTTCCCAGCGAACTCTAATAACAGGTCTTGATACATGTTGAAACAATGTTGAATGCGATTGTTATATTCTACTTGAAACTGCATGGCTACGCCATGGTATGTAATATATCCTGCCAAACACTTTTTGCTCCACATTGAGCAGTTCCCTTACATACATCTCAACATTACACTTTTATTTTATGATAACAGTATAAAAAACTAACTTTTTCTGATCATTTTCTTTCACTTGATGATTGTTTCTCAGCAGATTTGGTCTATATTGAATGAAATTATATACCATATGTACTCATTCTGAATCATAAAAAACGACTTGGGTTCAGGCATTTTTTTCATCTTCAGGTTCTCAAATATCAAATTTCAAAGACAGGCATGTAAAGATAGCACTACTGTATGACAGTAAGTGTAATAAGACTCGGAAGTTTTGATCTTTACGTTTTAGAAATGAAAGTGATAGGCATTTTCAAGAGAACGTTTGGTTGAAGCAGAAGCACCAGGGTTTTTATTCGTCAAACTTTTTTGTGTGTGTAGCCAAACGGGTTTTTAGATAACTTTTTGTTTGTCCCATATATGTTACATTACAATTTTCACAATCTTGTTAACACTGGTTTCACCCATTGTGTTAGTCATTGCTTGTAACTTCATAAAGCATCGTTTGCTCATATTTTTTTGGTTTATGAGCTACTTTGTTCTCGTATTTTCATTAAACTTTCCAGAGCATATGATATGAAAGTAAATTCTTGATTTTTTTTTCATTGTTATCAGTTGATAATGACATTTTTTGATGATTGATTCATAGAAATTTGATATTTTTTGGACGGGAAACCTGAATTGTTTGGTCTGTTGAGCTTATCACTTTTTTTATAATAAGGTGGTGCATTCAATAAGAAAATTTTTACAGCATCATGACCAAATATGATTTTTTAACCTATCAGTCTTAATTTCTTTGTGTTCATTGCATTCCTGAGTGATATCTGGATATAAAGATATAATTTTCTTATTCAATTGTGAATTGGAAACGAGGATGAAAGGGGTTGAGAGAGTGATGAGTGTGTTGCAATTCGTTGATAGGGATACAGAAAATATAATCATTGTGAAATTGGCCGCGGTGGTAGTGCGCCCGACTCACGATCGGAAGACCGTGGGTTCGATTCCAGCCTCGACCAGATATTTTTCTCGAGAGAATTTATCTGGTTGAAGCTGGGATGAGTCTGCAATCGTGTTAGGAATCACACGTTAAAAGGTAAGACCTCGTTAGTCCTTAGCTCGCACAAGTTTCTCAACTTCTGAGAGCTGACAGCTGATTAACGGAAAAACAGATTTTAAACAGATTTTTTTTAAACATATCGTTTGTATGTAATCAAGAGTGGAAATCACTTGGACCTCAAGTTCCTCTATTACCAAGTTTGCATAGGGTGATGAGATAGGATATTCCACGGCTGTACCAAAAAACTGGGAATAGTGGGAATTATGAAATTTTTAAGATCAAGGAGATCCTATACCCTGATATTTCTGAACAGTAAATAAAGATTTACTTTCCTTGGATGTCATATCTTCATTCACCAGTATCTTAGCGAATTTGCTTTGAACTGCATTTGAAAAAATAGTCAGAAATATCAGATTACATGTCTTTCATAGGTGTGAGATGTTGCCTAAATTCTACATATTTTACAAATACTAATTTTTACTATACCCAAGTTTTTGGTACAGTGATTTCCACTCTTGATTTCATACAAATGTTGACTATTGTATTCGTATCAACAAATTTAAACAGACTCATTAAGCTTTCAACTCCTTTAATCCTTGTTTCTGTCTGTCTATCTAAAAAAATCTGTTTAAAATCTGTTTTTCCGTTAACCAGCTGTCGCACCCCTACGAACGACAACCCTCAGAAGTCGAAACTTGTGCGAGCTAAGGATTAACGAGGTCTTACCTTTTAACGTGTGATTCCTAACACGGGTTGGACGGTAGCAAGTGAAGATCGATCGTTCGGACTAGGGCTTGAACCACCGACCAACACGGCAGTCAATTCGAGTGAGTGAACAAAGCACCCACGCCGAACCGCTTGGCTACCGACTGACCAATTCACCATTTAAAAAGAGAATTATAACTCCATAAATATTTCGGTTATTACTCTGGACAATGAAGACCGTGATTAATTTGAGAACGGATCAAAAAGCATATCTGTCACAACGGTATTTAAACTTTCAAATCGAATGCATCAACTTGTTATAAAAAAAGTGTTGTAATAAGCTCAACACTCCGTGCAATTCGACTTTTCCACCGTGAAAACAGATTACAGTGCACGAAGGCACTGTTAAAAGCAAATAACTATCCATCACATTTCTATGGACAATCATCAAAAAATGTTTATACCAGCTATACAACACCAATAATACTAAACAAAGAAAATAAAAAAATTTACTTCCTTATTATAGGTTCAAGGTGCCTCTGTAAGTATCCTGGTTTTTAGGAAAACACAATAACCAAATAATATGAGTAAATAATTCTTTTCAAAGTTACAAACAATGAATAACACAATGAACCAACCTGGTGTTGTTTACAAATTATTTGCGAAAATTGTGATGCTACATACAGGACAAACAAAAATCTATATGAAAACCTGTAAGTGTAAAGAATAAAAACTCTGATGCTTCAGATTCAGACAAATTTCCGTTTGAAAATGTACATCACTTTATTATTATTATTATTATTTCCAAAATACTAAGGTTATAGTTTCCAAGTCTGATTATCAAAAAAATAACCCTGGAAATGTTTAGCATTGTTTATCACTTTTTCTTTAATTTCGATGTAGACTGAATCTGCTGACAAACAACTAGCATCTATGAAAATACCAAGCAGAAGCTTGTCAAATCCAGTCATACGTACAAGTTATTTCCTTCAAACATTATTTCTTGAATGTTACCTGAAAAAAGGGAAAAAAGACACCATATGCTTTCATCAGTAAAAAACAAGCAATATAATTATTTCTGCAGGTTGCATGAATCATTGGCCAGCAACAAGCAAGTGGATAGATGTAAACTATTTATTGAAAATAGCTGGAGACCGTACAGTTCCAATAGAAGTTGGATTTCATTATGTAGATGAGAACTGGTCTCAAAAACTGATGACAATGAGGGAATTTATCAAGCAACACTATTTATCTGATAACTACAAAATTGGGTATTTAGCACAACATAACTTATTTGAACAGGTACGAAAGATTTATTCCTCAAGTAACATTCAAACTTTCCTGAAAGTAGCTCTGTTATTTTTTGTAGATAACTGAACTCAAGGAGGATATTTTAATACCAGAATATTGCTGTTTGAGTTTGGATTATGAAAACTCTGAAGAACCCGATATCAATGCATGGCTAGGGCCAATGGGCACAGTATCTCCATTGCATCATGATCCAAAAAATAACATTCTTGCACAGGTAACGCCATTGTTTCAAAATTGTAATTGAACGAAGGATTACATTTATTTAAAACTTCGTATTTTGCACTCACCTCAAGACTTCTAATATAGGACAGTCGTCATTGTCCTTTCCTTTCATGCTGAAGGTCGATACATTTGATATGAATAAAGCCTAAAATAGTATTGGTGTTCCCATCTCAATAGATTTTGTTAATCAACAACTATGGTGCAGATGAGGCTTTTGTGTAATTACATGCCAAAAATTTACAGAAACATATAGATTGTATACGTAAAAATTGTGTGAGTAACCCACATCATAAGTTTGCCTTAGCGAGATTCCTAAAAATTTGGTGATGTTGCTCTATTCTAGAATCTCCTCACATATGTTACTCATGGCTACTTTTGCAGCTGGGAACAAGGTGACTTTTGTCAGCTTGTTCTCAAAGTTTTCCCTGCATTATATGGTAAAAACATTATTGATACAGTAGGAATCACACGTTAAAAGGTAAGACCTCGTTAGTCCTTAGCTCGCACAAGTTTTTCAACCTCTGAAAGTTGTCGTTCGTATGAGGGTGACAGCTCATTAACGGAAAAACAGATTTTAAACAGTTTTTTTTTGTTCAACAGTAGTGATAGTATCATTGTCCATGTGCTACTGATGTCATTGCCGTTGTCCAAGAATAATAAAGGCAAACTAAAAAGCCTCCCTACAAATCAAATGAAATATTAAAAAACAATTTTTATTCCTAATTCTTATCAAAAAATGACTGATGTTCGGGAAGGCTATCCCCTTTTCATGCGGTCATGTATTTAAAATATATTTGTCTGCGATTTGAATACATTAATTCTGGTAATGGAACGGTGACATAACATCAGCGGTGTTAGGGATCGCACGTCAAAAAATAGAACCTCGAAAATCCTTGTCACAAGTTTTTGACTCGAGGGTTGTAGTTGACAGCGACAACTAGTTAACAAAACACAAAATAATTTTAAAACAGATGTTTTCAAGATAATTCAAAACTGAAATGATATTGGTCTTTGGAACGGAATTTTTCATCATTCTAGCATTTTGTATCTTGTGTAGTTATGTCCATCTATTTTATTTTATGAGCGAGCGAGCAGATATTGAAGAACATTTTTCTTTTTAATTTTTGAAACAAAACCTTGAACTTGGTAAGAAATTCAGCGAAGAAATTATTTCTTAGATGTAGATTGTAATTTTTGAAACAAAATCTTGAACTTGGTAAGAAATTCAGCGAGGAAATTATTTCTCAGATGTAGATTCCGCAGCTTACCAAAAATTACAATTGTGTATAGGAAATACAAGTACTTGTAGGCAATATGCAAGCATTTTCAACTGCACCTTTATAGAATAGAAAGCAACGACTATCCAATTAGAGAGAGAGGGAAATATGCCAACATATTCCTTTTTCTTCATTTTGAATATGCTATTAACAATTTGACTCAGATGTCTGTTGAATATAGAAAGGCAAACTCCTAAATACAAAGATGGATAAACAGAACAAAACCCAGCTCGAAATAATCCCCAAGGCGGTACAGATATGCTCATTCATAATTTTTTTCATTCTATTTTAAAAAGAGCTCAATGAATGATCTAAACTGAAAAGGTCTAATACCTCATTATTGGCTCATCTCATTATCTTGATCATTTACTCAATTTGACCATAATTAATATTAAGGAAGATAATTCTGAATAGCTTCACTTTATGGATTCATTTGTCTTCAATGTCAATATTATTTGAAATAAGGATTTCTGAGCAGGAGCGAGCGCTGTTAAGGATTTTATACAGGAAGCAAAGATCCATTTCCCTTCTACTCAAGAATAAATATTTGATAAGCCCCAATTTGAATGCATACATTCTCAAAAATTTATGTTACTGTAATTTGGGTGCCATATTATTACAATGCATACAAAAATTGATCTTATTTAATAAAAATATAGAATTTTGAAAGAATCACCAGAGAGGTCAGCGAATAATCTTCTCCCAACATTTTTAGTGTAAGGGAGATCCCATGTATGTTATGTTTATTATCAAAAATAATACCCAGATCTTTTATCATTAAGCTCACTACCTTGGTACCATCGATTACATGCTAACTGGTCAGATATTGTTTCCTCTTTCCTCTCATTTCTGATGAGAATATAGGTTAAAACAATATTTTTGTTTGCATCTGACAGTTTTGGATTCGACCCTAATTGAATAATTCCATTCTTGTGAGTCATACTATCAATGATGTTATGGCAAATTATCTTCGAATACATCCTCGAGTATGATTCAACGCCAGAAAAAACCTGTTTTTACTTTGGTAGAGTTCTCTTGCATGATAATACTAGGTTTAGTTCCTTCCACTCCTTTGGATTCAAATTTAAAAATTAAATAGACAAAAACCTGTAAAAGTTGAAATTCTTGGATAAGTATCATTTATTTTGAATCACATGAGTGGAAATGTTTTACTTAGCAAAAAGTAATGAACGAATTGATTAGTAACGGTCAATAAATAGTGGATGACAATTTTCATCAAATTTTGAATTTGACATTACTCTTATCGCCTTTTGTATTATATGATCATCAACACGTGTAGATCCACCACATAAAAGAACTCCATAGGAGCACGGTAGGCCATAAGAACCCTTTCATTTGCAATATCCTTGATATTTCACAAGTTATACACGCACATAATCTTACAATCTACTATTGAAAAAATCGGTTGAAATCTGTTTTTTGTTATCTTTGAAATTCGAAACTTATGCGAGCTAAGAATTAACGAGGGCTTACCTTTCGACGTGCGATTCCCAGTGCTCCCAAACATTTCACTGATAAATTTTCCTTTAGAATTAAGTTGTGATTCAGAGTAAAGAGTGACATTTGTGTTTTACCGTTATTAAGATATAATCTCATATTCATGAAATAAGTACTTTTGAAGGTGTCTGATCCGATATTCTCAAACTGATGAGTTTTTCATTGAAGGTATTAATTAGTATCATCAGTAATGCCATTAACATATATGATAAATAGTATGGGTTCTAGGATTGATCCCTAAGGCACCCCCTCATAATTTTATTTTTGGTTGAAACATTTCCATTTGACGAGATACACTGATACCTTTCTGTCAGGTAACTTTGAATAAAAAAATAAACATTTTCTCTGATAATAAATTGGTTAAGGCTTTCGTGGCCGAGAAATTCAGTGTTACTATTTTCATTCGGGTTTGAAAGCCTTCGTAGTTTAGAATTGCATCTTAAAGTTTGGCTAGCACGAGTGGCTGGCTCCTTCAGAGGTTTATTCATCTTGATGATTCACCGATGACTGGTATCTCCCGATCATGCATACCACAGTCGGCTTGTACGGGAAGCCATAGAAATCCATAAACATATGGAGAACAACAACAGCAAAGAGGAGGCGGTAATGCTTAACCCGATTTGGAATCTCATACTCAAAAGATGCAAAAGTAGCAACAGCGCAATGAAATGTTACAGCTCCTAGAGACGACACGTCACTCATTAATAAGTCAATAATAAGTAATAACCAACAACAATCCACTAACAGGTACGGTGGGAATAGATACGTCATTACCAGGTAATAACACTTCGGCCAATAGCAACACATCAACAAAAGAGGCGGACTACCTGAGTCAACATAAATACAACCTAGGAACAAGAAATCACAAGTCATCGGTGAATCATTGAGATGACTAAACCTTTGAAGAAGCCTGAAACTCGTTCTGGCGAAACATTAACACGGCCTTCAAACCTGAATGAAGATAGTAACACTGATTTCCTCTGATATCATAAATTTTTAATTCCATTACAATTTCGTGTCTGGAATTTTGGAACAGTCTGAAAAAGATTATATAATTCTTCTGTGACGAAAATAATTATATCATAAAAAAGGTGTTACATCCGAAGAAAAAAATTTTCAATAGATAGCAATACTGCCAACCTTTTCAAAGATTTTTGAACACATAATTTACGAACAACTAGTAAAATATTTTGATATAAATAATCTTCTGAGTCTTCATCAATTTGGATTTCGGAAAGGAAAATCGACGTCTGATGCAATACACTTTCTCACAAATAGTATAAAAGACGCCTCTGATAACCAAGAAAAATATGTGAGCTTTTTTGCAGACCTTACTTCAGCATTCGATTCTGTAAATCACTCGATTTTTTTGGACAAATTAGATTTCTAGGGAGTGAGAAGTGTCTGCCTGGACATGATGAAGTCATACCTTAACGAAAGATATCAAATTGTTGATCTAGGAAATACCAAAAGTGAACAAATAAAAATTTAAGAGGAGTGTCACAAGAGTCAATATTGGGGCCACTTCAGTTTCTAATCTATATCAACGACCTGCCTCACGTGATGAACTCGTCAGACATAGAAATTATATTGTATGTAGATGTTGCAACCTTGGGCAAAAAAATATATAAAATAGATGATCCTCATATGATCATATTAGAGAAAGCTCGATCGTGGTTCACACCAAATGACTTGATTCTCAATGAACAAAAAACAGAAACTCTTAACTTTTGAAACAATTTGCTTAAATCGATATAACAAAAATTTTACCAAATTTTTGGGGAGTATAAATAGATTCCAACCTGAAATGGATAGACCATATAAATAGCATGTGTAATAAACTTAGTAAGACAGTTTTTGCTATCAGAAAAATTAAAAAAATAGTAAATCAAAGTGTGGCACTTGCAACAATCATTCACTTTTTCATTCAGTCCTTAGGTATGGTATAATCAATTGGAATAATGCATGAAAGGTACATCTTCATAGAATATTTTTCATTCAAAAATCTGCAGTAAGAAGCATAATCTCTGCCAATTATGATGAAAAGTGTCGACCAATATTTGTAAAACTTAAAATAATGACCCTATATTCAGTTATTGTCTATGAAAATCTGCTTCTTGTTCAACAAAACTTGATGAATAAAATTGCTCACCAGGATATACACCAACATGATACAAGAAATAAATCAAACCTTGTTCCTACAGCTAATAGGTTGAAAAGAACAAATGATATAGGAATTAAGCTATACAATGCCTTATCTGTCGAATTCTTGCCATTTAGAAGATTCAAAAACTTATTGAAGAAAATATTAACCAAACATCCTTTATATGAAATTGATCAAGTTTTTCGAAGTTATTCAAGAAGAAAGAGACACTTTTGTGGTCACCTCCCGAACTTTTACTCAACTTTGAATATATATAATAAGTTAGCTATGTTATTTATAATTTGTAAAAGCTCATGGCTTTACGTTTTAGTCAATTTTTATAAGATTAATATTTTATCTTGTTAACTTCCATTTTTTTGTAAATCTAATTCATCTACATGCATTTTTTAGAAACTATATTGACAAATCTTATCCTCTCAAATCTATTTTAGAAATTGTATATTCAGACAATGGTAACCAAGTATGATCCATTTCTACAGTTGAATGTGTATTTTCAAGAAAAATATAAATTTCAACAACTCATGCTTGTTCAAAATGTTAAATGCACCTTTTTCTTGAATATTTACCTTTTTTGCTGATTTTCATAATGAAACACGAACAAATTTTCAAAATGAGCATGGTAGCACAAGTATTGATTCATCAAAAAACGATGTAACAAACACAGTGTTCTTCGTTGGTTTGAAGGTGATTGACAATGTTTCGTTGTTAGTTATCACCAGTATATTGTTGATACTAACAATAGAAACGTCGTGACATAACTTGGTTGGAATCTTTTAATTCTAATTTTTCATTTTTTTTGATATTTTTCAATTTTCAGCTTTTATTATTATATATTGAGCTTTAATCTAAATATAAAAATAAAAACAACAATAAAAATTAATTGGCGCTTCGGGGCGACTTCATTGATTCCAGTGGAGCATTTGCTTTTTTAGCTGCAGGAAAAACCTGCAGCACCAAATCATCTGAAGATCTTGATATGCCAATGTCCTTTCTCTCATAAAACAAAATGTAGGATGTTTCCGGAGGCTCCAATACATCGCCAGAACACTTCGTGACACAACTATCGTCAAACTTAAACCGTTTCCTCTTTGACCAAGGCGTTATAATGACCAGATTATTTAAATTTTTTATTAGTTTGTTACTTGTACCTGTTATTTCTTTGTAATTTCAGTTTTTTGTTTATTAAAATTGTTATTTTCGGTTAATTTTTTTTAACTTTTTTTCAGAAATTTCAAATCAAATTATATTATAGACAGTGGAAGTTCGACCTGATGAAATACACAGTGTTCTTGTTGTCCTCTCAGCATATACACACATTCTACACACACTTTTAGACAGCATACACTACATTCTGTGTTTATATAATGAGAGTTATATTTTCAGATATATGGATATAAACAAATTATTCTATTTTCCCCCAAGGATTCTCCATTCTTGTACCCTCATGAAGATAAGTTGCTCAACAACACAGCACAAGTGAATCCCTTGCAACCAGATTTAGAGAAGTACCCAAAATTTTCAAAGGCAAAAATGTACAAATGTTTGCTAGGACCAGGGGAAATGTTATTTATACCTGTAAAATGGTGGCATCATGTTTCCGCATTGGAAAAGAGTTTTTCAGTCAGTTTTTGGTGGAAGTAATAAGAGTTATTTCAAATATTTTTTATTTGGAAAATAATTTATTTTTTACAAAGCAGGAATTACAGACATAATTTGTTCAACATAACATAACAAGTTCAACAAAAAAACGAAATTATAATAAGGCAATGCTAGATATTATATAAGTAGCTTAAAAAAATTATGTGTTAATAAATTAATATTTTCATAACATTGTATTGCCTAATGATATTGTTTCTTAACACGAAATATATGTGTAATATAAAAAATTGTGTTTTCTTGTAGAACAGTAAAGATATTCATTTCACCACCGAACTAAACAAAAATAATTTCTCAGCTATCAATCTATTTAAATATTCCCACACCTAGTGTCTCATATTTCGAATTAATATATTTTGTCCTTATTTCAAACAGCCTCTTTTATTAACATTTAAACTTTGATAGAGAACATACCGAAATTTGAAATCCATCGTTACAATAATCTTACTCATCTTTCTTATCACCAGATCCCACAGTTAATTTTTTCTGAAGCTTGCTGTGTTCTTCTGCAAGGCGATCATACTCCTTTGCCAAGTTATCAGCTTGCTCTTTGAGGGCATTCTTATCTTTCTTTTCAAGTTTTAGTTCGTCTTGGACTTTGACAAGCTTGGCCTTCAGCTCTATTACCTGAAAAGTAATAAACAATTAACAAGTACAATAAAGGTTTTCAGAATTCTTCAAGGACGTCAACTCTTGAAATAAAAAATCGTATTTTTTTTTATTGTTCTTTAATATATTGTTAAGCCACATAGATTTCTAATAAGGGGTACACTTGACAAATCAACCATTTTATTTTTACTCAAAAGTACAACTTGAAAATAATTTTTTTCCAGTGCTCACTAGCCTTTTGACTTTTCCATTTTTCAAAGTCTCCGGAAAACACATGCATGGCACTCATTCCAACACTCTTGTTCTCTACACTTTTTTGTACAGTTCTTTTGTTGTATGTTGTCGTTCTGAACAATATCCTGTGACTAACATAATTTTTCTGGGCCTGTCCCTGCTCTATTGGAGCAGTTCTTCAGATATTTTCTCAGTTCCTATATTCAAGTTTTCACGTGTGTTTTAAAGTATATTTTTCCAGTACTCTTATCAACCATTTTCACCCCCATAGCTAGTCGAGGGCCAATATAAAGTTGATTACCTGTGACTAGCATTCTTATCAGTTTTTTTTTTCATTGCTTGTGGTTCTTGAGTGTCCTGGCACCCAGTATAGAGTCAATCTATTTTTGTTCGCTAGTTCCTTCAGTTCTTTAAGACACTCCCAGACCAGCCTCACTATCTTTCTTGAGTTCATCAGTGTCCGAAGTTCAATGAGACTGCCTATAAAAAGATTTCTTTGGGTTCCAAAATATATATTCTTTACACATTACAAAACTGCACAGAATCTTTCTCCCGGGCAGAGGTGAACTGACCGAACGGGAAGCTGTAAAGTAAATTTCTGACACAGAGTATATTCCAGCTTCTCAGGTTGACTGTTCCTCAAAATTTTTTTCAGTTTGTGACTTTAGCCGATAATTTTGTGTCAAAAGTTCATTTTGATGTCATGTGGTTGGTTCATGAACATGTTTGATGTTAATTCCTCCCAAGCTCCCACGACAACGTTTCCATAAGTCCCCATAAACAAAATCCGAAATCTTTGATTTGCGTAGGGGTATTACCTTTCAAAAACAAATATTTAATGTCAGCTTGATACTTGATTTTGTCCATTTTCATACACTAACATCAACTCACTCAAAAGATTGTTACATAACAACTTTGCATTATGTGTTCAAGTGGAAAAACGATGAGGCATCATTTCAACAGACTCTGAGAAAAATTAAATCTTAGGTTTGAAGTCTACAGAGTACTTTTAGTGTTTAGTTCCTTTTCTAAAATAAACGAGAGCAAACTCAAACCAAGTAAAAGGAAGGAACTTGAAGTGTTGAAAGATTGAAGAGAGGAGGTGGAACCTCAATGTTCTATCCAGATTGCTCAGCAGTCTCATCTTTCTTCAGCTGTATAATTTATAGTGTCCGACCGAAACTGGTTTTTACGACCGAAACTTCCTTACAAGGATTATGTATTGAGGAAAAAATAAAGAAAACGTTATTATAATCAGTCAGTCTTTATTTTTTTTATCTTTAAATCACAACGTTATGCAGTCTTCGACACTTTAAGTTATTGATTATCAACATAACAAACCCTTATTTAAGAAAAAATATTAATTGCACCTTAAAAATACTTGAAATAGGTGAGGTGTTTATTTGAGTAGATGTAGATCCTTCTTTTGAATATTATTGATGGGTTTTCAAAAATATTAAACATAAAATTACTTATTTGAGTTGTTACCTAATATCACAATAGGTACTTAATATTTATGTAATAAAGAAAGTAAATCACAAAGTCACGACATGATTAGGCACGTGGACGCGGCAAAATGTCTTCGTCGCTTGTATGAAATTCAACATGACCGATCACAGCGCGGGAACTCCCGAATGCAGTTTCGGTTTCGGTCGTAGTTTCGGCAGGTTTGCCGCCGAAACTGAAACTAAAACGAAACCCGTTTTTTTGCTGAAACCGAACTTTCGGTCGGACACTAATAATTTATTTTTAAACAAGATTTTTAATCAAATCTAATTTTTTTTCTCCTGCGCCATTGGGCACATTGATATTTCACTTCAATAACCAACAGATGTCACTAAAATCTCAATTTTGACAAATAATGAAATATTAACATTTTTCCGTTGAGCTGAGAGTTTTGAATCTTTTGTAATAATATATTTTGTGATAATAATTAAACAATTTCCACAAGACTTTTTTTATTTATGTTTGTGAAAATTATCTAATTAATATCATGTATAATTTGTGATATTGATTGACTTATTTATTTTGTGGAAATTCATCTTCAATTAAAAGATATAGACAAAAAACTTTGTCTAATTTCAACTTACTTAATGTATTAATACGACCAAGGTTTTGGTTTCTACACCATTTCCAAGTATTCTAATACTACACAATATTGACCTTCAAGAAATATCTGAGTATATATATCCGAGAGTGGGTAATAAGATATATACCTACATTCATTAATACCAACTACATAAACTTCAAACTGTGATTAATTACTTTGTCATCTTTATAAATTCAAAAGTGGAGACCTACACAAATCTGTTTGTTCGTTAAGGGTTCTATATTTTGAGTTTTTAATTGATTTATTGATTTCTATGGCTTCCAACAAATTCATTTTCTTTCCTTTACTACATGTATGTAAGATTTTGAGGTTTTCCTTACTTATTTTGTCGTTTGTTTCTTGTAGGTGCTCGTACATAGAAGATTTTTTGTCTACACCGACATGTTCGCGGAGTCTCACTTCGAAATTTCACCTGGTCTGGCCTGTATACACTGCAGAGCATTCACTACATTATATTCTATATATGCCAGATTTCTCTATTCTGTCCTGTCTAGGTTTTTTACTTATGAAGGATGTTATTATGTTGAATTTGGAAAAGTAATTTTGAATATTTACTGAAAGTTTACCTGAGTAATTAATGCTGCTATATAATAATAATAATAATCGTCTTCATTCATCGACATAATATTAAAAATGAAATACAAAAATTTAGAATAATCAAGGGTCAATGAAAAGGTGAAGTATCAGCCTAGGCTGCTTTTCAACTTAACCTAGCGAAAAAAAAAATTAAATAATTTAAATATAAATAAAAGTACTAATTTAATTCTGAATATAAATATGTGCCTGAATTCTTGTAAAATATTTTCACCTTAGTAAACACTTCTTAACATTCATTTATAACGCTAGCGTAAACAATAATCATATACAGGTCCGTCTTAAAAGCAACTCTATAGTGACTGAAGTAAGATTTTCAATTTCTTCTTGAAATTGTATAAGAGAAGTCTGTATGTATTCTGTTCTTTGATGTATGGGTACAGTTCTCCCATAATAGTTTTGTGTTTTATCTGAAATAATCTTTTTAATTAAGGACACAGGTACCTGGTTATTGACGGCCATTCGTTTGATGACTTTCAATTCATTCTGAAAATTCTCTTCAGGTAAAGGGATTGTGAATGCTCTGTGTATCATGGACCTAAAAGCTGCTAATTTATGTGAGGTTGGACTCTTTGACTCTTTCAGTCCATGATACACAGACATCTTTCATAAGTAATAATAATTTAGAAAAAATCATATTTAATGCAAAACCTAGACGGGATAGAATGAAGAAATCTGCCATATATAGAATAGAATATAGTGAATGCTCTGAATTATATACAGGCCAGACCGGGAGAAATTTCGAAGTGAGACTCCGCGAACATGTCGGTGTAGACAAAAAATCTTCTATGTACGAACATCTACAAGAAACAAACGACAAAATAAGTAAGGAAAACCTCAAAATCTTACATACATGTAGTAAAGGAAAGAAAATAAATTTGTTGGAAGCCATGGAAATCAATAAATCAATTAAAAACTCAAAATATAGAACCCTTAACGAACAAACAGATTTGTGTAGGTCTCCACTTTTGAATTTATAAAGATGACAAAGTAATTAAAAACAGTTTGAAGTTTATGTAGTTGGTATTAATGAATGTAGGTATATATCTTATTACCTACTCTCGGATATATATACTCAGATATTTCTCGAAGGTCAGTAGTGTTAGAATACTTGAGAATGGTGTAAAAACCGAAACCTTGGGTCGTATATATATCAATACATTAAGTAAGTGGAAATTAGACAAAGTTTTTAATCTATATCATTTGATTGATCATGTATAGTGTTAATATTCATCAAGTAGTGGGCCAGGCCATTTGTCATTTGTAGGACTTGAAATACACATTGCTCAGCTACACTTATTAGAGGAAAACCTTTCAGGTGTATCATTTATCACAGCTTCAGGAAAACGAATTATTCAATAACATTTTTACAGAACAGCCCAATAAATTTATAGACTTCTATTGAATTACAAACTTACTTCTTTATCATGAGCCTCATTACTGTCATTTTGAGCGACTTCTCCACGTTGTGCAAGTAAGGACTTGGCAGCTGTTGTGGCACTCTGAGCCTGTCTCATTGATGCCTCAGACTGAGCCTCAAGAGTGGCCTGGTTGGAAATCAGAATGACTAGGCGTCTTATCACCAATGACAGGAACAGGGCAAATCCGGAAATGTAAAAATTACGTTGGGCTCGGAATAATCTCATGCTGCCTTGCATTTCTCGATCAAGATGTGCATGTCCATGTTCATCAGCTTCTATGGAAATAAGAAATTGAATATGTTCTAAGTTAAGAAATTAACAAATATGTCCTCACCAGCCAAATTAGAGTATTTCCTCATTTCTCTGATAGCATCAAGAAGGAACAAAACTAATATCGCCAAAAGTATCAAGAAGTAAAAGCCAGCTTGTCTCTGTAGAACTTGTAAAAACTTTGACTTGAAAAATGAGTTCCATCTTCTTGCACTTGCTATTGGTAGTACTAATAAAAGTACCACAGCTATTTCCAAATACAGGAATCCAGCAATGAGTGTCCACTGTAAGCTCATTTTTCTAATGTCAATGTGATAGGGACTATATGTATTTATATATTTCAATGCTCTGATGTGGCTTCAACCTATTTATAGAATATCACTTAGTGCACATTCCAAAGATCAAAATGAGTCAACCGGCTCACCAATAAGAAACAAGATAAAAAGGGAATGAAGAACGAAGGAATGCATAATCAGCCTTGCCAGTGGAAAATAATTAAATTTCCCAATTTTAAAATAAAATTCCCTAACACAATTCGAAATTTCCCAAATCATTTCCCAAGCATGCACGATAGCGATTTGAACTATTGCAAAAAAGAAATGTTTCGATTCCTCTACTGCAACCAAATGATGTGGTAGGAATTCAACAATTTAATTTTTCAGCAGGTTTCCTTTATCGTCAATCACTTGAAAGAGTCTATGATCTACATGCATCTCACAAAAATAAAATAATTTCAATATCATAAACCACAAATATATCCCTTATAAAAGATTCAAAGTTTGCACTTTTAAGATTCAACAATACCGTATTTCAAATTTCGAAAGCCCAAAGAAATCAACACTAACACGGAAATACAGAATAGTTTTGATGATGAGCGAACGACTATCAGGGACTTGGGATTACATACACCGATTGTATATTATCTGGGCTAGGACAGTTGATGGCAACAGAAGAGAGAACATGAGACATGAGACTTTAAGTTACTCTGAACCACCATGAACAAGAACAATAATGTAACGGCATGGATGCATGAGATGACGTTTTTATTGAAAAATGACACTGAACGCTGAATTCCCTAACTAGTGTCCAGTTCCCCAAAATTGTAGAATTTCCCAACGATTGGAATTGCTGTGCGTAATAGCGTAATCTGTGATCTAACACAATACATATTTTCTATCATTAAACAATGATCACAGATAAAGATATATTGATTCAATATTATTTGTGTTTTATTATTACACACCATCGCCCTACCATGCATGACATCGAAGTGCTAGTGTTGAAAAATGTGCACTGAGTGCATTGACAGTATTGACACTCATTTTGCCAATGGAACATAAATATACGCTCGTCTGGTACTATTGTACCAATGAAAAACGCTACAAGGATAAACCAAGATCCCGAATCACAGAATAGTAATACAATATTATGTGCTTGGACTACTGAAAACACAGGAAAACCCGTCTTTAACCTCACATTTTACTACGTGTGAAAAAGGGCTATCGTTTCTACGATTTGGTTTGCTTATGAAAAATATCTAAGCAGCTGACTGAATTCTCTTCGAAGTCGTTAACTTCCGCCAATTTTGAAAATGTACTGAAAACTTAGCCAACTTCGTTCTTTCACCATAAGCGTGCGCTCATATAAAAACGAAATTTAAGGTTATTATAGAATATTTTGTGGTAAATTACTTATAACCAACTACAAAAACTGAAAACAATAATAATAAGAGTAAATAAACTGAACACAATATCAATTTCCGAACGTTTATTATAATTACTCCAATGTCTGTGGTATAGGATATTCACGTTAAGAAGAGAACGACGTCAAAAGATGACCAGTTTTATTGCTATTAACCTTACTTACTATTAATTTACTCAGTTGAAATACAACTTTGTTGAGACTGTTTCGACAATGCATTAAGCATATTGAATATACGCAGGTCTTATTAAAAGAAATGATTAGTTCTGAAAAGAAAAGAAAGACTGACAGTTTTCGATTTTTTTTCGATTCGGCAACGTCTGAAATTTTCAGTTGAGCAACTTACAAAATGAAATTTCACTTATTTTATTGCTATTCGCATTTCATTGGGAATTTTAAAGTTGTTATGTTGGATATACAAAATTACCAAAAATGACATCATTCTCTTCTTAACGTGAATAATCTATACCGTCAAATCCTTTGATACTACAGCACTGAACGCGTTGGATTAGAATCTCATCCTAAGTGCGCCCGTACACGAGCCACATTTTGCGGTCGGATCGACCACACAGTTGCAGTCGCGTTCCAGCGAACTCAAGCCGCCCATAAGAAATACTGTACTACACATACACGGGCGTTCGCAAAAGTCAAAACGGACGTCTGCAGTCAACTTGCTGTTGATCTCCGCCGAGATGTTATCGCGGCATCCACCGTACACTAATCACAAATTTGCAGTCGTACCCAACCGCGTATACCGTCGGGTACGCGTTGATGTCAGTTGCCTCAACTGCAAGTGTGGTTTATATGACCGTAAGTCGACCACAAAAATGTGGTTGGGTCAACCGCGAAGTGCAGTCAACGTGGCTACAATGTTGTGGTTGCCTCACCTGCAAATATGTGGTCCGTGTACGGCCGGACTAAGAGCGGTTGAAGGTCCCCGGCAACTCGGGCGGATCACGTACGTGGTAAGAGAGCCTACTAGCCTTACAGTCGAAGTAGCGTTTGCCAGCCGAGCTCCATCCATACTCTACAGCTGACAACCTTATCTTCAGTTTGTGGAGAACATCCCGGCACCCAGGCGTTTCCGACTCGGTTCTATATCGACAGACACTAAGAAAGAATTTGTTGAAAAATAAATTTGACTACCCATTGATATGTTGGTAAAAATGTAAGAAATTAGCGTGCGTGCACACTACACTAGTACAAGACAAATACAGTTAGGAAGATCGAGTGAAATATTATTGTCGAGAAGTATCCAAAGATACAACACCAATGATTATAAATATTTTCTATGAAATTTTATCACAATTTGGGGTTAACATTTTGATAGATTCAAATTGGGTATTCTTATGAGATTTCGATCTGGAAAAGTAAAAATTCCTATATTGACTTTGCTGAAAATGAGGATAGACTTATTGATAACTTTTTTTGTCAAGGTTATAGCGAAGTCGGATGTATCCATTTGATTGAGCAGCGTTTTAACTTCTTCAAAATATTGCGGCGGTCATGAGGCGTATTCGGGTTCGACATTGAGATGATTTCAGGACGTTTCAGAACAGCTACCAGACTATCTATTGATCATGAACTCACACGAAACTTTCCATGTCCCAACTGTGCGACTACTAGGACCGTTTCGTATGAACTCAGAGTGGAACACAGCAAACATAGAACTAGTAACAAGACTTGGGGACAGGGGAGATTACGACCTCGTCCTCGAGTCATATAAGTACAAATCTAAGTGATTCTTGAAAATGACTCCAAAGCAGGAGCCAAAACGTCGAAACAATGAAAATTACAGACGCGGTTCAACCCGGACAACAGTATATCAAATTACTGACCGTGGAAACCTATCCGAACATATATAAGTTTTGGAAGCAAGAGTTGAGCAATCTGTAAGCTTCAATCATTTAGAATCAAATAAAACACGTATGATTTTAAAATAAATATTTTATTGATTTCTATTTTCCAGCATCCTCCTTGAGACCAACTGTTCTGTTGAAAACGAGCTAAAAAAAAAAAAAAAAAATTAACAATATCGCAAATAAAATGACGAAATTCTACCTTATCATTGTTTGTATCAGGATCCACAGAGAAAAAACCATTTCTCTCAAATTGGAATTTATCAAAAGGACTTGCTTCTTTGAGAGACATGTCTGAATAGCTTTTCAAAATAAGTAGAGAATTCGAATTACAATCGCTAATGAATCCTCCTGGAACTTCATTCAAATCTTCGGGATTTATCGAGGTGATGACCATTTCTCGCAAGTAGAATATTTATACTTTTTCTATGGCTGAAAGTCCGAACTTGGATAGCAATGAGGGAAAGTGAACAATTTACATTGATAATATTAAAGAATATCCTCAAGTCTTTATCGTCCCGCCTGTTAAGGAGTGTTTTTTGGATCGGTGAGAGAAGGTGGCTGTGGATAATTTAATACGTAGTACTCAGGGGTAATTCTGGATATTGAACAGTTTAATCTTCCTCTTGAAGATGATCACTTGGTGATCGATACACGTGTCGAGGTGTTAAAATAAAGGTTTGGTGTTGGGATAAAACTCCAGTAATATTCATGTACTTCCATTTCTCCAAATACATATTTGAAATGCAGGTAGAGCTTCAAACGTATTATTTGAACTAGGTTTCGCAAGGTGGTGAATTGGAAGCTATCTTTATTTTTAATTTTGATTTAAAAGAAAACATGGGTTTCCTTGAAGGTAAATGTTCTTGCGAATATTGTAAGTTGAACTTCATTCACATTATTGATATTTTTCAAGCTATATAAACGACAAACAAATTCTTGCATTATACAAAATGAAAGTGTAAAGTCTTGTATTGTTCAATTCATCGAAAGCTTGCTGGAATTCTGTCGATACTTGAAAAATACTGAATGGATGTTCCTAACCCGTCTTTAAAAAAAACTGGGATGTAATCACAGCCACATTTAATAGGTACAAACCTGACAAAGCAGATTTAGCTCAGAATACAAATTACTTACACAGTATGTCAGTATCGCAGCATTTGATATACATTTAATTCGTTGTTATTAAAAGGTAAATCTGGAACCTCTGACATATAATAAATAAAAAAAACAAGCACTTTTCCAATCACCAGAACTTCAAAACTCTTCAGGAGATGAAGACGTTTTCCCGAAGAGCCAACTTGATTGGTGAAACGATTGTCGAGAAAAGTGTTAAAGTTCTGGTGATTGGGAAAAGTGCTTGTTTTGAATCCATTATTTGTTGTTATGTTACAAACGTGGTATACAATTTTTTTATCAGCTTCATAATACGCTGTACAACTGAAATTTTCATTAACTGACTTTTGCATTATATCATTTACAACTTCAATTTTGTAACAATCAAAGGTTACATAGATAGTTTAATTTGAATAGAAGGTGCCATTTCATTTCATTCCCAATTAGATATCAATAAATTCACCAAAACTTTTTTAAACTTTCAAATTTGAGGCTATTTTACAAAGCAAGCCGCTATTGAATGTACCATTTCGTAGCCTTGGGAGTCGGTGCTAACCCTCCACTGGATTTGCGAAGTATGGTGATAAGGTGAACATTAAACAGCACATGCTGTTTATGCAGATGCAAACTTGAATCAATTATGACAAAAGAAACAACTTTTTCAAATATAGTTTCCGTAAATCCTATAAAAAAGCATAACACAAGTCATTTCCAGCCTTTGAAACTGTCTCTCGGCAGTATTTTTTCATTCCGGTTTAGTTATGATTCGAGTTATTAGTGTATTTTGTACAGAATGGTTCGAATATTACTGGAGGTTTTTCCTAACACCAAACCGTTATTTTAACACCTCGACACGTGTTTTGATCACCAAGTGAACATCTTCAAGAGGAAGATCAAACAGTTTGATCAATTGGTGATCGAAACATGTGTCGAGGTGTTAAAATAACGGTTTGGTGTTGTATCGAGGTGTTAAAATAACGGTTTGGTGTTGTGTCGAGGTGTTATAATAACGGTTTGGTGTTGGGAAAAAACTCCAGTAATATTTATTACTACACCAAAAGCTCCAAACAGTGCATCACAAGTAGAATGGTTCGAATTTAAATAAAGTTGAATATTCCCTTGTAAAAGTTGTGCTATAGGTTTTACCCCAGATTTCCCCTGCTTCTGAATAGCATCATCAAGAAATGATTGAAATACTAGTTTTAGTCAACCTGTTCCTGATGAGGTTAACTTAGCGAAACATGTGTTGAGAGAAACTGCTCTATTTCTGGTGTGTGAAAAAGGTGTTTTCATTTGATTTATTTTATGCCAGAGACTACAATTCTACCTACCAAGTTAAAAAATGGTCCTTACCTCCATAAAATCGCTTTTTTCAATATAAATTGTTCTGTCAAACACCACAGTATGACTACCCAACTCTGGTTTATTGGGATAATTTGGTACATCAACACTCACAGGTTCAGCAAAAGGAAAGTTCTCAATTGATATCTTTAAAGGTTCTAAGACAACCATACGCCTGAAAATATGATTGGAGATAGAAAATACACATATTCAAAATGAAAATGCTCACCTAGGAGCGGTATTATTCAGGTAATCCCTAACATATGCCTCTAACATCGAGGGGTCCACTGTACTTTGGGCTCCAGTTACACCAAGTTGGGCGCAGAAATTGTTTATTGCTTCTGGTGGAAATCCACGACGTCTCAGGGCTGTTAAAGTAAAAAGCCTTGGGTCATCCCAATCTGAAAACAAATAACTGAAATTCTATACAGAAATATTTTCCCAAACACCTCACCATTGACAATTTTTTCTTCAATCAGTTTAGCTATTTTTCGTTTAGATACAACTGTATAATTTATATTAAGTCGCCCATATTCCCATTGGACGGGACAATAAATATTCAAAGCATTACAAAGCCAGTAGTAACTTGATCGCCTGAAAATAAGTGACGAACATATTAGTAGTATTTTACTTTATGCCACTAATAAATCAAATAAATTGATTGATTGATAATATGTTTATTGTTTAAGAATAAATTCTTGTTACAAACACAATGTCATAAATAAATATCAATATAAACATGAAGTATAAGTGTATAAAATATAAATGATTAAAATATAAACTATATATACATACATATGCAGAGGTTACTTGACAAGAACTAGGACAACGAATAAAAATATATGTTTCACACACAGTTCAATCGCAGTTTCATCACATTCTAAATTACAGGGCATCGTTAAAATATTCTTGTAGGACATAATAGTCTGTATCAATTAATAGTTTTGTACATTTCTTTCTAAATATGATGAAAGGAGTCTCTTTGATTTCATTGGGAAGTTTATTGTATATCATGATTCCATTATATATCAACGAGTTTTGAACCAAACATGTTTTTGGAATTGGTAGACTCAGTTCATTTGACCGCCTTGTGTGGTATGTGGCTGTAGTTGTAGATACATAGTTCTCCCTATTTTTATGTATAATTGACACGGTTTCCAATATAAATATTGAAATAACCGTAAGGATTCTATGTTCTCGAAAAAGGGGTTTACATGAATCCCGCCATTTCACTTTACATAAGTACCTGATAGCCCTTTTCTGCAAGACAAAAACCGACTGCATAAGTTGTTTACTGCAAACACCCCAAAAGGGTATACCATACCTTAGATGAGAGTCTATTAAGGCATAATACACTACTTTCGCTGTAGCAAACCCCAGTTCCTTTGAGATGTTTCTCAGTGGGAAACATACTGATGCCAATTTTTTGTTGATGTGTGCAATATGCTGAGAGAATTTTAAATTATCATCTAAATAATTTCTTAAAAATTTCAAAGTGGAGTTATTTTTTATTGTGTTATTGTCTATGGGGATATCAGGTATATTACACTTGAATGCTAATATATTTGTTTTGCTAGTATTCAATGATAGAAGATTCGAGTCAAACTAATTCTTCACTTTATTTATGTCGTGGCACATTTTGTTATGCAATTTGTTTTTGTCCTAGCCATGCCACACTAATGTGGTGTCGTCAGCAAACAAGATTTTTATGATTCCTATCACTTCTTTCGATTCATTTATACTGATGTGGTGTAATGAAAAGGTACTGTCTACATAGATATCACTGAGATATTCTAGGGGATCGTGAGTAGGTACAATGTTTTGACTGAGTTTTGTTGCAACAGAGCAGAAATAGCTGTTTAGAAGGTCCGGATTCAAGGATGTATCTGTTGTGTTTGTATACATATTTTTTCCTCTGAGTTCGTTGATTATTGACCAGCTTTCTTTAGCTTTGTTACATGATAAATATAATTACCTTCAAATATTTAAAGTATTTATTTTCGAAAAGTTATTGAGTTCTTTAAAGCAATTTTATGGCACAAAATTAAATTTAAGTGGTATGTCACAAAAAGTCAAAAATAATTATTCGTTTTACAAAATAAAATGAATCATTTGATAATTTATTTCTTTCGAATAGATATGAAATATTTTACCTTGACTGAAATTCTTTGGTGCACAATGAATGAGTTATATTTTCAATACTATCACATAGACAATGGGTGTAATCATAAGTTGGATATATACACCACTTATTACCAGTACGATGATGAGGAGTAAACCTTACTCGGTAGGCTACAGGATCTAGTTTTCCTTCCTCAAGTGTAATTTTCATCCTTAGAGTTGCTGCACCTTCATCAATTTTACCATTTTTCATATCCTAAAAATAAGTTATGTGTTCAAGATAGTTTTATTTGAAAAATATTATACCTGAAAAAGTTGAAGGTTTTCTTCTATAGGACGTTCTCTCCAAGGTGATGGCTGGGGATTGAAACCCTTCATTTCATCAGCAGTTTGATGACAAACATAAGCCAAACCTTTTTCTATCAATTGTACAGCCCATTGGTATAACTGATCAAAGTAGTCTGACGAGTGAGTAATTTTGAATGGCGTATAACCTATCATGATAAAAATATTAGTAGTAGTCTGTAATAGTTAGGGTAAATTACCTAGCCATGTAACCATATCTTTTATGGCAATGAAAAATTTCTCTTCTTCTTTTTCAGGATTCGTATCATCATAACGGAGAAAACAAACTCCATTATTTGCTGCTGCATATCCAAAATTGATATTGATTGCCTTGGCATGGCCAATATGTAGAATACCATTTGGTTCTGGAGGGAACCTAGTTCGAACCTAAAAGTAGAGGTAGAAAAAGAAAAGTATTGATTGAAATAACATACCAGTCCACTAGTGGTTTTCAAATGATCTTTCAATAACTTATGTGTGTACTCAGTTACCACATAACCTTCGGTTTTGTAGTTTTCTCCAGGAGCATGAAAATTTACTTTTTTCATTACGTCAAGTATTGTAAGACCTTGATCTACAAATAAGTAATATATAACTTAAAAGGAAATAAATAACATATTTTTCGTTAATAGTCTTGACTATACAAATATTTTGCAATAAAAACACTCTAATTTCATTAGTTTCGGACTTTCATTATCTAATATGATATAAAATGTTTTGAAATCCCTGAAAGAATCAATAAAATTAAAATGATTAGCTGAAAATAACGGCAAAAAAATTCTAAAATGAAATTATAATAAAATAAAATCTTTTTTTTTCTGATTGATTCGGCTGTTACTTTTAACTTCTATGCATGATCTATGCAACTTGAAGAGTTTATTTTGAAATTAATTACTTTCTTACTTCTTTTAGAAGGATGGAGAATAAGATGAAGAAGTAGAAAGCCAACACCTTTCTTTCCCAAAACCTAATTTTAATAATGAACATACTATTAACATATATATAATTATAGTCATCAGGCGAGATATTTTATGCCATATTTCAAATGAAAGACAGCCTTGTATTTGGTCTAGATGGGGACCCTGTATACTTGTTGAAGAGAAGCTGTAAGCATCCCTATTTGTATAATTTTCAACCTCTCATTGGATCGAGATGTATTCCTTGAATTTTGGAAGTACAGTTAGGTTAAGCCTATTTACAAATCTGGCAACAACCAAGGTGTCAAAAACTACATAAATATTTGCCAACTGTCTTGTACCTTGAGGTTACTTGATTTGATAATTACAAACACTTTATCATAGGAGTGTGAAAACTTAATAGATCATAAACATAGATTCGTAAAGACTGCCTTCCTGACCTACCAGGTCAGGTTACTCCGACTTTACTCCAAGAGCTCCACCAACACATACCCTCAATTTCATTTTTTTCTTGAACAAAGGATTTGGGTTTGGGTTCATTTCTCACAGGTTTGGAAGATTTTTTCTCACTTTTTGATACTGGAACCAGATCTGCTTCAATTTTTGGACCAAGTAAATCAAATACCTAGAGAAAAATTCTGCTATAATAAAATGAACAACATTTATGAAAATAGACGTACTTGTAAATCAACTTCACTTTTTATTGCTTTACCATCTGCCCAAGGTAATTCACTTCTTACTTTCTGCATCAGAGGACCTGTGTTAAATCGGTAGCGGTTTTTCAACAGTTCACCTCTGTTGACGACTATTTGTTTCTCAACTGCTTTTTCAATTTCTTCTGGTGTCACAACAACTCCTACCCCACAAAATTTCTCAAGCTCGTCAATGTTGATCTCTTTTATATGCGAAAGAGCAAATTCAATTGCTTTGTCTACACGAATTGATGAATCTAATTTATTTGAAGAGATGTACTCCACTAAAAGAGGTAAATGGTGAGATATTTGGGGTTTTATTTTAGTCCCCAAATGATATAGCAGCGTCCTAGCTCCTTGAGATAGTTCAAAACACCCTACCTAAAACAAATCAGCAATGTAATTAATTTTGAAGACTTGCATCATTTCACATACTTCTCTCAAAATACTATTTAGGTTCTTGGTAAGGGTTACATTTTTCAATGTTTCAATGGACTTTTGTTTGCTTAGACCCAAACTCATGAAAGCGTCTATCGTTTGTTCCTCGTTTTGAGACATATTCTATAAATTACAAGATTTCGCAATTCGGCAATAACTATATTTAAAACCTTCCGTATTCCACAAATCTAACCTTACATTAAAAGACACGTTACATTCAGTTGCGTTTTTTTGCTGATTCGGATTCAGGAATAACCATTCCCGTAGTTTTTATCACAAACCACCTACTATAAAGTAGTTTGTGGTTTTTATGCTATTTCATTCCTGTTACAACTACTTTCCGTTTCATCTCAATCGACGTAATCTTTAGCTGCGTTCTTCGTTACAAAACCGATTCCACAATGACAAATCTCGTCAAGAAGTGGAGAGAGGGGAATCGTAAAATTGAAAATCATAATCGCGAAGTCTCTTAATATTTTTTGGGTATATAAACATAACCTTCCACAATCTGAAAATTAAACTAAATCAATAAAGAATCTGCTAAAGTGTGATGAATGGCATACTGAAAAGTTCACCCCGAAATGTCACTGCGTAATGTAAACTACTGAAGAGTCCAATTAGTCAAGTAAGTTGTATTCATGAATTTTGCCTAGGAATTAATAACTCAATTAAAAAAAAACAATGAAATTTCTATACTTAGCTTTTTTAAGTGGTTGACGTTTCGTTCATAAAAAAAGTATAGATCAATTGATAATTCAATTTTTAAGCAAATTTCATTTCTTCAATTTGTAGGCAAATGTATGAATACAAGTTACTGACTAATTGGACTAATCAGTGATTAACATTACGTAGTAACAAACATTGGGTTCTCCACAAAAATGATTTTGAGATAATATAATCTGAGAATTCTTGACAAAATTATGAATACTCTTGTTATTACTGTTTGCGTTTCTTTAGTGTGAATATTTCTGGTGAATCTGGTCGGAGACCAAAAAAAATCGAATTTGGAATGGAGTAGGGAGATCGCAAAATTGAAGATCGTTTATCAAAATTCTACGAAGAATTCATTTTGCTTATAGTAGCTTTCTCGGTAGCTTCAGAGGAAGCTACGGTGTTAGTAAAACGCGTCTAGAAATAAGAAATGTTTTTGAAAATTGTTTTAATTACTATCATAGAAAGTGTTATTGATAATCATCAAGTAATGGGTCACTCAATTCATAACTTACATCTCTTGCAAATGCAGACGCAAAGGGCCCATACGAATTGGTATAACATCCACATCGAGTCAAACACTCCTGGATCATCCGAGATCAGACATACCTCCATCCTGTTCATTCCGAGAAGAAGACCAAACATCAACGTCCAAGAACCAATTGAAGATGAAATCCAACAACACCAGTTTTCATAAAAAATGTTTTGTGAAAAGTTGTAGTGAAAGCAACAACTTTTTGTATAAAAGGGAAGTTGCTAGGTATATGCAGATATTATATAACGTCTCACACATAAAGTACTTATTGTGTAGCATCATCAAATAGACAAATAACACTGGATATTTAATATTCCGTCTGGTTGATTCAAAAAGCGGTTTTACTCTACAGTCTGCCCAGGGCTTTCAGATTTTTCTCCTGGATGCAATATCGATAGGAATACCATTTTCACCATTATCGTTGCTACATTCGTCACTTCTCTATCTTGGAACCGACCATAATTTTATGGCGCGGTAGTACTGAACTTTACGATCCCTGTAAACAGTATTTTTTGAGAAAAGCAGCACATTTCCATGACCATCTTGTATTCTTATGATTTTTTGTTGGTAAGTTGTAAGATGCATAGAATATACAAAATTTAAAAGAATCCAAAGTAGCCACGGAAAGTGTTCCTTTTTGTAAAAAATAGTACTCTTAACCAGTAAACGATGGAATGGTTCGTGATGTTATAAGTTTGCACGCCAGCTACACCAGACGATGCCTTAGATTCAGCCGTGCAGGGCTTTTTCGCCTCTGGTTTGATCCTCCCCCTGAGACAGATTCTGCATACGCCGCAGCTCTCGCTCCTGAACTAAATTTACAGGGAGGTCAGTTGTATAAACTCGACATCCATCTCCTCTGTAGACTTGCTCCTGAACTAAATTTACAGGGAGGTCAGTTTGAGTCGTAAACTCAGCATCCATCTCCTCTGTAGACTCGCTGCTGAACTAAATTTACAGGGAGGTCCGTTGGAGTTGTAAACTCGACATCCATCTCCTCTGTAGACTCGCTCCTGAATTAAATTCACAGGGAGGTCAGTTGGAGTCGTAAACTCGACAACCATCTCCTCTGTAGACGCGTTCCTGATCTAAGTTTACAGGGAGGTCAGTTGGAGTCGTAAGCTCGACATCCCTCTCCTCTATAGACTCAGCGTCAGAAAGAATTTTTAAGTTTATTCTGTCCATAAAAGTCACACAAGTAGCTAGTGAAAAAAGGTCAATCACGGCAGAGCCCCGCATTACCGTGACAAGGCGATGCTACGACGAGAGAGCGTCCGGTATCTCGAAAGACAGCTGATAGGCTCAGTGTCATTCATCCCCTCGGCACGGATACACACATCTCAGGGTTAAGCCACAAGTGATTCTGCCATTCTCGTATCCAGCGGGGCTACGTGGAAGCAGGCATCCGATGGCCGGTTTGCTCAACCCCCACATTCCAAGCCAATGCACTCGCCGAAAACCAACGATTATGGACATACAACAGCATGCACAGTGGTTCAGGCAGTGAAAGATGAACAAGGACAGCCAACTCGCCAGTTTACAAGGTAAGTATTATTTGTATTGTATAAGAGTTACCAACAATTAGTAACAAAGTCATTCAAATACTGTTCATTGATTAATATAGGCAGTGATAGAATTTTCAGCTACAACTTTTCCAAATCGAAATATGGTGGTATCATATGGATTAGGTATAATATATGGTTTATCAAATGTAGCAAGACCTTTCTAATTTCCAATATGGTCTCGCTTGTTAAATGCGATAGAGCGAGAAAAAGAGAGAGATAATTTCCAAGTCTCTTCCCAGATTTCATAAGCTGTGCCTAATTTTAGTTATCTACACTTATTATTATTCATGATATTTCGTTAAAGATTTGACATCGAAATGATTACATATTATCCTTTAGATCTTTTTTGTTCATCTATTATCAACGAGTATTATGATACGGTTTTCTTGAACACATTGAGGTGATCTGTTTTGGTAATTGAGTAGTTCGAGTCGCCTACGAAAATGAGAGGAATCAGTATAATAAAAAACTATTTTTTCCAGTGCATGAAACTTCAAAAAGAATGTTCCTATATCTGCTCACTGGTAACCGATCGGCTCAAAATTTATTGATAGATATAATATAAAAATCCAGAAATTATCAATACGAAATGGGCTAAAAGACATTCTTAATGTCATGTCATTTATCATAGATGGACTGTCATGGGACAGAAGATTTTGTAGTCTTCTGTGGATTTGAAATTAGACAGTACTGAAAGTCTGAAATTTGACATTTCCAATTTGTATGTGATCAGTGAGCAAGGGGAAGTATAGCTATTGCATAAGAACTATTCTAACTATTCTTTTTGAGTTGCTTTAAAATGTTGAAGCCTACCAATGTTTCCGGCTACTTCAGAACAGTAAGCCAAGTTGTAAGTAACCAGCTGAACACAGGAAAACAAATTGCAATCTTACCAAAGAAGACTACTGTATATATCCCATTTTCTCCAACTATTCCTTCAGCCCTTCCTAACGGAAATTTAAGTATAACATCTGGTCTGACTGTTTCCACTCAAATAAGATGGGCACATACTGACATAACAATTCCTGACTGGACGAACTATCGCAAGGATAGCACCAAGAACCCAGAGGCCAAATCATCTAATTCCGAAGATTCAAGAAAAAATTTCACATATTTGATGGCTGGTGCTTTGAGTGTTGGTTCTGCTTATGGAGCTAAATCTGTTGTCACTCATTTTGTTAGTTCCATGAGTGCATCTGCTGATGTTTTGGCCTTGGCTAAAATTGAGATTAAGCTAGCCACCATTCCTGAAGGCAAATCAGTTACTTTCAAATGGAGAGGTAAATATCTGTTGTCCCAACATATTTTCAAGAAATCATATCTATTAATGACACACCAGTCACCTATTGCAACTACTCGATAGTTTTCATCTTGAAATGAGGACTGAAAATATATCTGTTGTCAGTATACTAATTAGATATATTTAGTCTAAATTTCAAGTCTAATGAAGCTGTTGTCATAAGCTTACTCAATAAGATGAAATAACTGTACTTATAAATATGACAAAACTGTATTATATAAACACTGAAATACTTGCAACTGAAAGTGAATTCTGGCGCCAGTCCTAAGATGTAAAAATTCATGTGGAAATATGAATTCACCTCAAAAAATTAACTGACAAAATTTCATTATAGAATTCATGTAAATTATATTGGATCTTTGGTATTTTCAATCAAGATTTTGAATGGTGTCATGAGTACCTTGATATTTTTTCAATCCTTGAATCAGTGTTGTTTCTTCTTGAGAAAAATTGGTAATGAATTTTGCCAAAATTCATTACCAACCTGAAAGCAAATCAAAACAATTCTTGTGTTCTACATTTTTTTTTCAATTCAAGAACTTGTGAAAATATAATTAACTGATATAAATAATGTATAACTTCTGATCTGGAATTTTTTGAATTGGAAATACTGCAATCAAGGAGTATGTCATAAACTCCACTACACAAATCCAGATTAGTAACCTTTACTCTTCTTGAGTAAAATGAACCAGAGGGATTATTGACTCTCAGCTGGACCCAACAATTAAAGTTGTAGGGAGAGTAATGTGCCCTGTTTAAAAAGATCTCTACCTTGTGTAGCAATTTCATATTCTAGAATCAGTCTATGGAGGAACATTTGAAAAGTTCAGAAACACAGGTGGACATGTTTACTTTCTCAAAATTCTATGAAATTTTCATGTGTTCTGGAAAACAGATTTGTAACAGTTATATCATAACCCTCTTAAAACTTCTAGGACCTTTTGAAAGGATAATTCCTAATATATATTTGATAACGTAAACAGAGCATCACTGTTGAAGGTTCCTAAAAATCAGTAATCAACATTTTGCTTTTAAATGTTCTCACAGCAGATGATCTATTGAAGTAGTAGATAGTAAAGTAAATATAATTTTCAGGTAAACCACTTTTCATCAGGCATAGAACATCTTCAGAAATTCAGTCGGAACAGTCAGTTGCAGTTTCTTCCCTTCGTGATCCTCAACATGATAACGAAAGAGTCCAAAACCCAGAGTGGCTTGTTGTTTTAGGTGTGTGCACTCATCTGGGATGTGTGCCTATAGCTAATGCTGGTGATTTTGGAGGGTACTACTGCCCTTGCCATGGATCACACTACGATGCATCTGGACGTATTCGCAAAGGTCCAGCCCCCCTTAATCTGGAAGTACCAGAGTATTCCTTCCCTAGTGAAGATCTACTTGTTGTCGGTTAAACATTTTAAATCAAATGCCAAGTTGAATTTGATAAGCAGTTGTGTGAAGAGTAAATCAAATAAAACTTAATTTATTGGTTTTGATTTTCTGTTTTTGAACATGAGTATAGTACAGAAGTTAAGTATTATAAGTAATTCAACCAAATTTTATTAATCAGAAATTCCAGCTGATTGGTGAATATTTCATAATTGAATTCTCAAATGAAAAATGGGTTTATTGGACTAGGATTCCTATAAATTCAATTCATTTTGTACTCGTATCATCTATTATTAGATTAGATGAAATTAGACAACTTTAGGGGAAAACAATAAATAATAATTTTCAGTTAAATAAAGTTGTGATAACAAACGTTTGTATTCCTGAATAAAGGATAAACAAGAAACTTGCATCCTTTATTGTTGACAATCTCTGAAGCTTCTCCTGGTTTAGCAAAGGATGCCCTTGTTTTCCTTATCTATTCATTCATTCATTCATTTTTTAAATATCTTTGTGGATCACAAAAATAGTACTTGAAAATTTAGTCCAGAATGTGGGTAAGAGGCATTCTAGTACAATTGAAATTTACCCACAGAGTTTAGATATTAATTTCAAATTCGAATCAAAAAAATTATTTTGTTTGTGCCAAGTTCATTGATTAAACACATTTTATATTTCACTCCATAGCAACAATGTCACATGATCAGAAACTTCAAATTTGACACAATTTCCTGGAAAATACTACAATGCATTTCACCTTTTATTTGACATGGTGAGTGGAAAAGAATTTCGTTCCAACTTGAAAAAACCCTTACCCGGAGCTAAACAAACCAAAGGATGTAGACTGGTTCCAGCATTTACAATACAAGCTCTTCAAAAAGGTACATGTGTAGCTCCTCCTCCAAAATGTAATGCTCTTAAGGAAATTCCTCCAAAGCCTACAAATTTTCGAATGAATTATATGAGGGGTAATTTACCCATTGGAAGAGAAGCAAAAGGAGGAAAAGTTTCTTGGAAGGTATGTTTCCACAAAAATGAATAGAAAAACTTAAAGATGAGATATTTCAACATATATACGAATACTTCAAACTTCCAGGCAGACATTAGTAAACTGGACTTTCATTATTATTTACCTATGTTCTTTGATGGTCTTTGCGAAACAGAACACCCCTATAAATTATTTGCTCAACAAGGAATTTTTGACTTGTTGGCACATGGAGGACAGAAAATTTTTCCGTGCATTCCTCAACTCATTATTCCTATTAAAGGTAACAAGTGTCTTAGAAATTCAATTTTAAATTGGTTGATAAAATACTTTTAGATGCACTTAAAACAAAAAATAAGGAAGTGATGTGCACAACTTTGAGAGTTTTACAGCATTTGGTGAAATCTGGAGACATGATTGGAGAGGCTTTAGTTCCATACTATCGTCAAATATTACCAGTTTTAAATTTATTCAAAGAAAGAAATGGTGAGTGTTGATTTACTAAGGAGATGCATTAATTTACCATTGCTCCCATGAATCATTTTTTGCTTTTAGTGAACTGTGGGGATGAAATTGACTACAGTCAGATGAGAGGAGATAACTTAGCAGATATCATAAATGAAACATTGGAAATTTTGGAAAGATATGGGGGAGAAGATGCTTTCATTAATATCAAATATCTCATACCAACCTATGAATCTTGTATGATGAATTAAAATTCAATGATTCACAGAACTATTTCAAACTATTTATTAAAATATAAAAGTAGTAAATAAATAAATTATAAGTTGAATAAATTAATAGAGATATACTGCAAAAACCGTTGTTACACAGAATATTGTATCCTAAAACAAAAAACCATTAAATGTTTGCTTTATAACTGAAAGGGTGAAATACTTACATTCATAAATATTTCACTGGTAAAACTATCAACGTCTGAATCCCAAAGACATCTCACACCTGATTTGACTCCAGCTCCCTTTTTTTCACCGAGTATTACTTGAACGATATGTTTGTATCTCTTCATTTCCAAATCTACAATCATTTTGTGTATATAGTGTTTGTACATAAATGAGCAATCCTGCTTGAGAAAGCTATTGTAAATTGAAAAGTTTCGATCACTTACATTCAAATATTGTGATTAAATAAACATTAGATTATGTACCTTTCACTTTATCATTGATTTCATTTGCTATTGCTATGGTCCATTTTTTCACATTCTCTGGTTCATATACTTTTCCTGTAAGTAAACTTGACACTACATTTCTGATGATTTCTTTAACAGGTATTTCTTTGAACCTGAAATGATAGTCGAACCTCATCACTGCAAATATGATAAGTCTTAAGGGAAATCATGCATACCAGTCTCAAAATCCCAAGCAATGATATTGTATATACTTATTCATATTTTATGTGGAGGAGTCCTAGTTTTCAAGTAGTAACAAATGGAAAACATGATAACTCAACACTTGCGACTTAAGACTGGTGCATGAATAATACACCCTTACTTTACTTCTAGGGAAGGTTTGATTTGATAAGAATTATCAACTGGAACAGGATCTTGAGTTTCTTTCGGATCTGATTTTTCTGAACTCGGTGTTATGGACTGTGCATCTGATGGTGCAACTACCATATTGAAAATGTTTATTAAATATTCACAACAAAATATTTCTTGTAATACACTTTTCAAAACTCAAATACCTGGAAATTACAAACCACAGAATAGTAAACAATTGTACAAACCACAGAACTCATAAACGCATAATTATATCTTAGGACATGAAATATAGTTTGTGCGTAGTCAATTCTGTGGTACAAACACTAACTAATTACCAGTGTCGCCAAAATAGTCCAAAATTTTGGAAAAAATACTTGTATTTTATGAATTAACTGACCCGTTATTTGATGAAAATTCATCTGACTATCCATGATAATAATAGTAATAGAATTTTCATAATGAATTTCATCTAAGACGCGGTTTGCTACACGATAGCTTCATCAATCCAACTGATTTAGCGAAACACGTATCATGAATACTTACTTGTATTTTAATAGCAAATTATTGAAAATCTTCATACAGGTCACTTTGATCCAGTAACATAAAGAAAATGCGATGTTGAGTGAAATGACTAATAATGAATGTATACTTTATATTTTATCGAATAATAGATAACCTATTAAAAAATCTATGCATTACGGAAGCGTAGAAGGACCACATATTTTGACTATGATCTTTCAATTCAACTGAAATCAAAAATTACAAGATCAATTTCGAGACTATAAAGTCGAAATTTCCAGTTGATTGAGAAAATACTCATTTCATTACAGTTTCTAAATATGCATCGGTTTTCAATCTTTCCGAAACCATAAAATTTTGAAAAACTTTACAAAAATATATACTGGATGTCCTATCGAGAAGAGTTTCATGGATTAGTTCATTAATCCATTCAAAGTTCAATTATCATATTGTACATCATAGATGCATATAAAGTCGAAATTTCCAGTTGATTGAGAAAATACTCATTTCATTACAGTTTCTAAATATGCATCTGTTTTCCATCTTTCCGAAACCATAAAATTTTGAAAAACTTTACAAAAATATATACTGGATGTCCTATCGAAAAGAGTTTCATGGGTTAGTTCATTAATCCATTCAAAGTTCAATTATCATATTGTACATCATAGATGCATATACGTAATATAATTCATTTGGACCTCTTCCTCCTGTAGAATATGTTGTCAAAAACTCTCGACTTACGGCACTCTCGATAAAAAATGATTAAAAGATCCAATACATTTCAGCGCTCCATTCACAGAGGTGCTGAGTACATCTCAAGAGGAACTGTTTGACAATGTCAAGTTGGCACTTCAATTATCAATGCTGTTTACATTTGGGACTAAATTGATATTGAGTGAGAGATTTTTTAATATTATGGTGCATGAATTAAAGATCTGTAAAGAATACGAGTGGCAGATTTCGATTCTTGCACCATCTATAAAATGTGTACATAGTTGGGTGAATCTCCTCACGAGAGTTTTTTCAAAAAACAAAAGTGAATCGGAGGAAACACTAGGATTTGTATGCATCTAGTAGACAAATAAAATTATATACTAAAATAATTTTATTTTTAGGCAAGAACATAGAAAAGGTTATGTCAAATTTCGAAAAGGTAAACCAATATTGGTGAATCTTGACTTGTCTGAGAATAGAATTGTTTTCAAAAACTCATTATTTGGCTGCACGGCATTGTTTGGCCGCGGAAGTGTTTCTGGTTCAGTGAATATATTTTCAAAATATATTCTTCAAATGTTCATTGAATAAATAGTCAAAATAATATTTGTCACTCCTCAGGTATTACATTTCAAGGACATTTATATGAATTTTTGCCTTTGGTAAATATAAATATTTCATGATTTTTATAGGGGATTGATCGCCAATCAAAATCACGGACTTCCTAGCTGTTAATGAAGTTAGTAGTAAAAGCGTAAAAGAAATAAAAAATCTTCAGCCTTCAGCTCTCATACTTATATTATTCTCAGCAGGTTTTGAATTTATCTCGTCAATATTTTCAAGTGATTTCATTTCCAATTACATCAAAATTTTGAATTCTGTTTTTATACATTCAATCATTATACAGTGCGGACGTAAAATAATCCCCTTCTCTGAACTTCTGAACATAATAAGATATCAAGGTCGGAAAAATATTCGTAGAAAGGTATAATTTTTAGTAATCTTCGATTTAATTCTCTATCAAATACTTTATATTGTTGGAAATCGAATTAGCCGTTCAAGAGTTAAGACGGGGGACTGTTTTCGTCCGCACTTCATAATTCATAAGGATAGGTACTTCAAGAATACAGATATAATAATGAAAATTTTATTTATTAGGAAAACATATGTATTATATTTGTTATGGATTTGTATTTGTGCGGTAAAAGTTTCACGTGGAGACCTGGAAAGGAATAGGTAGATGGTAAGATTGTAAAATTCATGTGACACTGGGTGTGTATTACCTCGAGCACTTTTCCGATATAGACAAATTTCCCGAAACAGGTTCATATCATCAGAGATTATCCCATCAAAGAGTAATTTCTTCAATCTGGGACATTTCAGAATTATCTCAATCAGCAAGTTGTCCAAGTTTTCTTTATTGTTTTTCAAATCCAATTTCACACATTCTGAGAAAATCAAAATGTTGTTAACAAAAGTAATTATCGATTTTATAGATTTGTAGATACCTAATGATTCGTGGTAGTTATTAATAAGTCTCAAAAGGGTCCTTTCGAAATCACGGCTTCTTCTCTGATTGTACCTGCTGTTGGTTACCAGTGAGAAAGAACTCAGAGGAATATCCTCCATCAGGAAAATGAACTCAATTTGTTCGTAATGACAAACGTTTCCTAAAAAAATCATCCCAATTCTTAAAGTAACTAAAACTGTCATCGAATAAATTTAGGGCATCAATTGAGAAAAAGTAGGCAAATAATTAATCGATAGAATTTATCGACGAGAATCAAGTATTTTTTAACTAGTTTGCCTTCCGCAAAAGCATTGATACAAAACTGCGTTACAACTGACAAAATGGTTAAGGCATTAGCGGCCGAGGTTTTCAGTGTCACTATTTTTCGGGTGGATTTTTGGAATTTCTTCCTGACGTTTCGCTGGTGCGAGTAAAGTTGAGAAAGTTGAAGATAAAACTCCAACAATGTATCAGTCTGAAGTGAAACACTATTCTTTGTTAAAATTGTGATTGAATTTAAATTAGTCAAACATACAGGTTACTAAAATACCGTATTACTTCCCATAAGAGCGATTGTAGGTTACCTCCGCAAAGATGTGGGTGAGCACGTGAATAAAACATGACATTGTATGAAGTTCATTAATGTTAACATATCCGAGAGTTATGGATATGTTAACGTTATAAATTAATTGGAACCAATGCCTACTATTGTATACAGTTTTCAAAACCATTAAAATAATTGAATTATCAAATAAAGTTCATATTGGAACATTTTCAAAATGCAGAGAATGTAATTGGTGAAAAAATATGGTTGGAGTCACAGTGTTTTTCATATTCGATCGATTGCTATTTGCCGTCTTAACGGAAAATATATAAACCAATCAATGAGATATTTTATATTCATTAGTTCGATAATAATATTTTCGAAAATAAAACCTGTTCTCGATTGGGAAATTCTTCATGAAATGATATATTAGGTTTTGAGGCACGTTTTCATTGATTATTCAATTTGTATTATAAGAAAACAAGTATCTATATCTGAGGCACCAGCCAATCTAATAATGACACTCATGATCTTCAAACATGACTCAACCTCTGACGGCAGTACCTAACTCTTACGAAGATTCGAAATAGATGAACACTTCAATCTAGCAGACCACTATTATAATCTTCATGCAGTCATTGTTCACTGTGGTTCTGGCGTTGAATCTGATCATTATTACGCCTTGGTCAAAGATGAAACGGACTGGTTTAAGTTTGACGATAGTCGTGTCACTAAGTG